CTTGGGCATGTTAGCAAGGAGGTCTTCAGGAGGTTCCCAGTGCCTACAGCCATCCTCAAGTAAGCCCTGCCTCGCAAGGTGTCAGATCAGGTTTTGATGGTTTAGGGTTTTGGGGTTGAGGTTTTGGGGGTCTAGGGCTTAGGCTTTAGCGCTTAGGTTTTGAGAGTTTAGGGTCTAGGGTTTAGGGGGCCAATTCCATAGAGTAGGGCAACCGTACCCCAAACCAGGGCCCTGAAGAAGCTTGGATGGGAGCCTCCTGCTGCAACAGGGAAGAGCCGCCCAGCTTCTCAGAGAGGGTCTTGATGGCGCGGCCCTGGCATTGAAATTGCAGTCCCTAAACCCTAAACCCTAAACCCTAAACCCTAAACCCTAAACCCCGGGTCGGGCCAGCATGTCCATGGCTTCCTCCAGCTCGCCCTTGGCGGACGTGTGTTCCGCCTCACAGAAAGCGCCGCTTCACCCTCGCGGCGCTCTTGCTCCAAGAGCCGGCTGCCTTCTCCTTGGTGCGCAGCTCCTGGGCAGCCTGGCAGGTGCTGGAGTCTACTTGCAAAAATAGGGTTTAGGGTTTGGGGTTTAGGGTTTAGGGTTTAGGGTGCAAAGCTGCACATGAGGGACACGAATCCTCTGGGTACATAGCGCCAAACCCAGCCTGCGCGAATCTCAAGAGGGCCACAACACACTTTACCCGTGTCAGGGCTCGACCAGAGAGAGATGCCCAAGTATTTAGGGTTTAGGGTTTAGGGTTTAGGGTTTAGGGTTTAGGGTTTAGGCTTGGGGGGCCGAGTGTCCGGATGGGGCGAAGCCATGCTGTCCCTTGGTGCAAGGCGACCTATAATGCAAGCCTTGTGTAATTAGGGACTTCCACTTCTCCTCATGACGGCCCCCTGCGAACCTCCAAGTAACCCGCCTCAACCCTGAAACCCTAAACCCAAACCCTAAACCCTACACCCTAAACCCTACCCGCTCAACCCTGAACCTCGAGGGCTGGGCAACGGAGAGGGCGCGCCTTCAGGTCGGCCTCGTTCTTGGTGATCGTGGCCGCCAGCTCCTTCAGTGCTCCGAGTTCGCGCAGGTGTTGCTTCAGGCTTCTGTAGGGTTTAGGGTTTAGGGTTTAGGGTTTAGAGGTTTAGAGGTTTAGGCTTTCACAAAGAAGCTTGGGCGCTGGAGCGAGTGGGGGGGGGGGGGGTTGAGTGGGGCTTTGTGCTCAAGGCTCGAGGGCGACACAACATGGGGGTTCCGAAATTTAACGGGTGCCATATTGGGGTCTTTATTCGAACGAAAATCCCACTTTTTGGGGGGACTCTAGGGGTCCCTTCTTTTCGAAAACCCCCAACAGGCAGCCAGACCTCCAGTTTCGTGGCAGACACTTCGATGTCCGAGGTGGCTTTGGCGATGCTGGCCGTCAGCTCCTCACGGAATAAACACGATTTGGTCACTTCTCAAGATGATGGTCCCTCGGGGACCCTAAATAAGAGGGGCCACCTTACAATCTCGAAACCCTACCCTTATATGCCAGACCCCGATATTCGTCATGTCTCTTCCGTCATCTCCTCGACCGTCTTCTCACCATCCTGAATGTCATAGCCCAGGTCGCGCTTCCCACGCGTGCAGAACTTGGTGTAGTTCTCATACGCCTTGTCGCAGGCTTGCTTTACATGCAGCACGGCCCCCCTTAGATGCATAGTGTCATCATGTGTTTCATTCAGGGCTCCTCCTGCAAAACACCAGGGATCCGAATGCTCTTTGCTGCACTGCGCATCTAAGCACTTCGGGCTGCTTGTGAGTACAGGCAAACAGACAAACTTCAGGAACTAATGCGGCGTGACATCGTCAAAACCATCGCATTTCGGGGTCCACATGTGGCCAAGCATTTTCCTCTCAATGAGACATAGGCTTGGAGCAAGGCGAGCTTGGAGGAAAACAAAACATGGTGATTATGATCAAAGGGGAGCCCTGATGTAAAACAACACGTGCACCGCAAAGGCCAAGTTCAAGCCACTGACCTGAACCAACATGAGCAGGCTTTGGGGCTTAGAGCAGGCTTTGGGGCTTCTAGGGCTTCGAGGGTTCTCAGGGGTACGAGGCTTTTTACGATAGAAGTCTGAACCCCTAAAAGGCATAACATCCCGGCCTTCGACGCAGCAACGCCGTCCTTCTCCACTTTGTCCTGCAAGTCGGCAAGCCTTCGCCACAGTTCTCAGCAGGAGGGTTGGGGGAAGATAGGTTCCCTGGTTCCTCGGTTCCTCGAGTGCAAGGGTTTAGGGTTTAGGAGATCAGTAGCCGAAGCCTTCGCTTCTCCCTACAATCCCGGTGGAAGTCTCGTGCGGAGCGCAAGGGCAGTGTTGGCCAGTCAGGGGTCTAAGAAGGTGTGGCCTTCCTTGGAAACTCAGGTCGCCACATCGTGAAAACCTTCTGCATTGGGCTGACCTTGATGCTCAAAACTCGCATCTGCCGACCCAAGCATGGAGCAGCTGAGCTCCTCTGAATTTAAGCAATGGCGCTGACAGCAACAGCGGATGTTTACAGCAGGCCAAGATTGGGTTTCTCACGGCATCAGCGCCCATGGCCAACAGGAACAGGGCGAAGCTCTTCCTCACACAGACTGGGGTTGCTGTGGAAATGCGGGTCCAGCAAGGGCTTTGGGGCTTAACGCCACCGCTGGGAAAGCTAAAGGACGTGTGCCGCGAACCCCAGAGCATAGAACCTCCCTGGCCAAACTCCGAAGGGATGGCAATAATCCCCTCCCCCTAATATTAAACCCCCCTACCCCCCTAATATTAGGGGGTAGGGGGGGTTTAATATTAGGGGAGGGGATTACTCAAAGGACCACATCTTGGTCCATGGCATTCCGGCAAATATGCCACGGGTATCCCACTCTATTCACACTGGATAGCTCCGCAGAGACGTGGGACGCCAGCTTGAACCGAAAAGCAGTGGGCAGTTCTTGCAGCCTCCTACTCCGGCACCGAATTCAGAGGGCCCCGTGACGGTCCGCCTTGTCACGCAGTGCTTCTCGCGGCAGATGAAACTTGCGGCGAGGATTACTCTACTGCAAATATGTCTCCTAAACAGATGCAGAAGATTGCAGAAGCCTTTCAACTCCAAAAGTCCAACTGCCTGTAGAGCTATGCCAACGACACACCATGACATTTGCAGACCGGAAAGTCCATGCGTCCCTTGCTGCGACACAGGGGGCGTTGTCCACTCTCGTCCTATCGCTCCACATCCGACGGGGAAAATGCTATTCTTGAAAACAAGCTCCCCAGCGGAGCAAAATGCACAGCCTGTGGAGGTCATTGCTTCACAGCTTTGGTGCACGCCACGAGCTTACTCTCATCTGTGGCAGGCCGAACCACCCAATCACCAGCGTGCTTCTCAAGCGCCAAGGTCAGGCCGGCCACTTCTATCACATCCTACCACGCCTACAAGAAAGAATTCGATAAGACAGAAGCAAAAGAGATATGCTGGCGGCCAGGCGAGCTACCGCCTGGGCGACGTGCCAGCTGCTGACTACAAGCCAGCATAGCCCTTCATGAGATCAGTGACCTTCGTGAAGTACGCCTGCCAGCCATTGGGTGATCTAGAGGCCGTCTCCGAAACAAAAAGAGCTGTGTCAGGAGAAGCTTGCAGCAGCACCTTCTTCAGGTCCGGCTTGTAGAATGCCGTCAGGTGGCCCGCTCCCTCGAGGTGCGGGGGGGCACATACTCAAGAACCACTTTTGGCATTTCCAGGCGCCGACCTTCCCCCTCAATATGAACATATGGAGTTGCTTGGGCTTGTCGTGGAGTTGCTTAAGGCCTTTGAAGATCTAGCTGAGGATGGCTAAGTCCGTTTTAGTGCGGTGGTTGGATGGTTGGAGCACCTGAAGATACGAGACAGGGTCCCAGCTTCATCACCCGAAAAAAACAAAGCAGAGACCCCCCCCAAAAAGCACCCCTCCCCCTCCCCCCCAACTCCGAGACTTCCTCTGAGACGAACAGTCCTTAATAGGGATTCTATGTGCCCCCCCGCCAGGGAGAGAACACCCTAAAACCTAAACCTAAACCCAAACCCTAAATTGAAACCCTAAACCCTAAACCGAAACCCTAAACCCTAAACCCTAAACCCTAAACCCTAAACCCAATAAAATCCCAAGCCTTCAGCTCCTGGTAGTCGAAAGGCCCGGCGGTCCAATCCTTCCAGGCCTCCAGGGTTTAGGGTTTAGGGTTTGGGGTTTAGGGTTTGGGGTTTGGGGTTTGGGGTTTAGGGTTTAGGGTTTAGGGTTTGGGGTTTGGGGTTTGGGGTTTAGGGGTTAGGGGTTTAGGGTTTAGGGTTTTGGGTTTAGGGGCTAGGGCCCCATGTTGCAAGGGCTTTGTCTTAGGCCTTGGGGCACTTTCGGGTGTCAGGGATGACCTGTTTCCCGCCGTGCCACGATGATTGCGAGCGATGTTGGTGGAAGCAGGTCATGTTCCGAGTTGTTTGCGTAGCACCATGTCCAGTCCCTATCCCGCCCCCAGCGCCCCCCCAAGCACGCGCTGCGGGCCTGGACCATGTCAGGCTTGATGAAGTGCTCACCCTCACACCACCAGCAGTGGAGGGGGAACTCGAACTTGGGGGCCCCTGCGTGCCGGAACTTGTACCTCCGCTTCACAGGCAAGGTTTGGGGTTTAGGGCTTGGGGCTCAGGGCTTGGGGGGCTCAGGGCTTAGGAGCAAAGGATGCAGGGCGCATGAGCTGTAGGAGGCTCACTCGTCGAAGAGCTTGAAGTCCGCTCTCATCATCGGCTCCCAGGTGTCCCCCCAGCTCTCTTCGAAAACCACCTGTGTGTCACCGCCATGCTCTTTTGCTTCTCTCTTGCTTCCCCTTCTCTCTCGGGCCTCTCGCTCATCTTGACACTTTTCTTCGGGCCTTGGCGGCCCCGCCGAAGTGCTCCTTGTCCCAGGCTGCGACTTCCTTCAGGCGAGCACACCCTTCCGGAATACAGGGATCACTGCGCACGAAGGAGCCGCCTCCCTCATCTGCTTATCATTCAGCCGGGCGTTTCGCCTCCAAGGCCCTCAACGATAGGATGCGATGGGAGAGAGAGAGAGAGAGAGAGAGAGAGAGAGAGAGAGAGAGACTGAAGCTTATGGGAAGACCCAGCCACTGCGAAGGCTGAGCCACGCGCGCTTGGCTTCGGGGTAGTGAGGGGCCGGGAAGGTCACCTCAAGGAGCGCAGGCCGAGATTAGGGGTACCTTATTTGGGTCCGATGATTCTACTAAGGGAATCCTACTCTTGCGGGAGTCTATTTCAGGGTTCCCCCCAATTTTTTTGTACATCCCCATGTCGAACGACAACCTCACGAGCTTGCGCCGAGCAGCAAAGAAGGCAGCCAAGGGCATGGGAATGCCGACCTGGCATTGCAGAAGTGATAGGGTTCTTAAGGGAGGGGGGTTCAAGTAAGTACCCTATCTTCGAAGGTGTCATGGCTATCAGCCGGAGTAAAACTCCCAAGCCTCCAAACTCTAAGTAAGTCAGAACGCGTCAACTGAGCCACCAAAACCAAGCCTTTCGGCAGAGCATGAGGAACTCGAAGCCGACCCAGGTTCCGACCTGACTTCCACAAGGGCCCATCATGACCATCGCAGGCGCAGTGCGGCAACATGCGACAATGCCACGATGGCCACCACGATGGCTGGGGAGGCCGGCCGAGTGGCCCCACACCAAGTAGGGCACCCCGTCCGTGAGTTTCTCGTAGGCCACAGCCTCTGTCGCGTCCATGGTTTCCTAAAAAACCCGGGCAGGTTGCAAGGCCAGCCGGCTCCACCAGCAGGTCCGGAGCCAGAGTCTCCGTGGACGTGTGCTTTGTGGCCTGCCCGGCAGTCGGCTGCCGAGGGTTTCGGAGGCAGGCTTTAGGACGGCTTCGCAAAAACCGATGCTTCCACGCCTTGAGCAGCTTGTCTCGCCCAGGATAGTCAAAAGCTAGCAGCTCTATCTGCCTCGGCTCCGTACCCTAAACCCTATAAACTGTCACTGCCAAGAACCTTCGGCGCCTGAGATTTTAGGTGCTGCCAGCTCGCTTGGTCTCCTTGATCCAGTTGATGAAGGGGGTTCCGGGCCTAGGCACTCGGCCCACAGGACTCTCACCTCCCGGCTCCTCCAAGCCACAGGGCCCTCCCCCCCAACATGTGGTCACAGGACAGCATAGCCATGATGATGAGCATAACCGCAATCGGAGTCATAAATCATCAAAATCTCGATCATTCGAATCACGACCGCACATCACCATCTTAGGATCTACAGGGCGCAGGCCGGTGGAGGCCCACCCTAAACCTTAAACCCCTAAACCCTAAACCCTAACCCTAAACCCTAAACCCTTAAACCCTTAACCCTAAACCCTAAACGGCGGCCCGTGTAGGCTGATGGCCCGGTGTAGATTGACTCGGCACTGCCCGCGTTGTGGAAGCAGAGAACTCGCAGCTTGGGCTTGTCCAGAGGGAAGCCCAGGACCTGGCTCAAAGGGCTTAGGGGTTTGGGGTTTAGGGTTTCGGGTTTAGGGTTTGGGGTTTAGGGTTTGGGGTTTAGGGTTTGGGGTTTAGGGTTTAGGGTTTGCACGTCCCGAACTGTGCATGAAGCTGTAGAAACCGCCCTGCTCGTAGCCCTCAGCTACACAGAAGAAGCCCAGCCACGAACCTGAAGTAAACCTCCTGCCTTGTACTTCATGCAGTACAGCAGGAGCGCTCCTTCGTCTTTCTTTACCTCTGCATGTTCAGGGCTTCGGGGCCTGAACCCTTCGGTGAGAGGACCGTTCACGCGGCCTTCGCATCCGCTTCAATTTTGCCTTTGAGGGCCTCATCCGTCTCAACCGGTCCCGGGGCATCTCCTGCTTCGGACTCTTGGAAGCGTATCTCTTGCGGTGACTACATTGCGCATATCTAGCTCACATAGTATGACATGTTGTGTATTGAAATGGGGGGTTTACTCGGGTTTACGAAAATAGGGGACCTCGAATGTAGATCCCCAAATAGTGACCCCAACAAGGCACCCCTAATTTCGGAAACCCCCATTTCTGCGTGATGCTACACACCACAGCTTGAGACGCTTTCTGGGGTCCAGGTCCGCCAACATCCTCTGGAGGCGCATCCTCCTCATCTTTTCTGACTACGAGCTCCTGCTGATGGCCCCAGGGGAGGCAAAAAAAAACGAGACGTGGCTGGGATGTTCCCCCTTATACTGAACAGCTACTTCCTAGGGAATATAACAGGGGGTAGGATAATCCATATTGAGGATTGTTAGTATAAGGGGGAACATCCCAAGACATAGGCGAAGAATGGCAGAAACGTGCACAGAAGGCTCCTTGCCGCTAACTTTGAGGCTGATCCAGCCTTCCTCCGGTCCAGTACCTTGCCACACAGGGTTTAGGGTTTAGGGTTTAGGGTTTAGGGTTTAGGGTTTAGGGTTTAGGGTTTAGGGTTTAGGGTTTAGGGTTATGTAGGCTTGTGCCGTAGGGCTTTGGTCAGGCACAATCGCACAGTGATGGTACTCTCCACAACCCACTGGATGTGACAGGCGAGAGGCTCTTGGCCGTGCGACAGACAAGCCGGGAAGACTGCACCCTAAACCCGGAAAAAAAATATATAAAAAAAAAAAAACTAAATCCCCTCTCTCTCAGAGGTCAGCCGCAAGGGCACCTGTTAAGCGCTTGTAGTGCAGGCGCTCCCCAACCAACTTCAGCTCTTCGACCTGGCACGGTAGTAGCCGGGCGAAAGCCAAAAGATGGCGGCGGCGGTGTCGGGGTGTTGAGGTTTTGGGGTTTAGGGTTTAGGGTTTAGGGTTTAGGGTTTAGGGTTTAGGGTTTAGGGTTTAGGGTTTAGGGTTTAGGGTTTAGGGTTTAGGGTTTAGGGCGTTTTGGGTATTAGGGTTGTTTCAGGCCCCAACAGAAACCCTCCGAAAAGCATCTTTGCTGGCTCGTGAGGCAACCCCTAAACGCGCAACCCATGTCCCCAAATACCTCATACTACTTAACCCTTATGTGCGGGTGACACCCTTAACACATAGGGGTAGTGAGGACCCTGGGCTAACAAGTAGAAACCCTATGCACGTGCCAGGCTTTTTTTCTCCCAAGCAGCAGCTCATCCGCGAGGCCTAAGCAGATGCAGGTTTAGGGTCTAGTGTTTAGTGTTTAGGGTTTAGGGTTTCGGGTTCAGGGTGCAGGGTTCAGGGTTTAGGGTTTAGGGTTTAGGGATTAGGGTTTAGGGTTTAGGGATCCACCCCCTCTAGGGCTTGGAATTGAGGGTTCCGGGCTTCTCGGACAAGAACCCTAAACCATAAACCCTAAACCCTAGACCCTAATTTGGATTCTGCATGGGAACTCAGATGAGCCTTGATGGAAGGGAGGACTTTGCAAGACGAGTTTGCATGCCAAGAGGCCCTCCTGGCGCAGGAGGGCCACCCTGCTGCCACTTCACCTGCCGAGGTGACTCTCGTTGAGGGTTTAGGGTTTAGGGTTTAGGGTTTCGGGTTTAGGGTTTAGGGCTTACAGGAATTGACTCTCATTTTCGGAGTCCGCCTGCAGCAGCTCAGAGAGAAAGCTCTGGAAGAGGGGCACCATCACAGGCTGCTCGGAGCAGCACGAAGCCCTGACCTGGGCAATTAGGGGGTTTAGGGTTTAGGGTTTAGGGTTTAGGGTTTAGGGTTTAGGGTTTAGGGACTCAGGGACTCAGGGACTCTCTGCGCGAATCCGGCAGCCCCCGAACTAGCTTCATGCAGAAGTTGCAGTCAGAACTTAGTCAACACACAAGCTGAACGGCCCCAGCTGTGAGCCCAAGGCATAAACAGGACCGTTCAAGTATCCCACCCGGGGCGCCCCCCCACCAAAGAAAAAATGATCATTCAACTCAAGCCCTGCTTCGAGGCGCGAGGGTGTAATGAGGGCCACCCCCGCTACGAACCGCACATGAAAGCAAAATGAAAGCAACCCACCACACCTCAATGTCTGCCAAAGCAACTCCAGGACCTCCCTTCTGCAGGCTCAGCTCGCAGAAAACGGTAATCTTGTTGGTAGCGGTGCCTGGGCATCATGTGCCAACACGGAAGACAAGGGTTTGGGGGATGGCTTCGGGAGTCTTGGGGTCCAGAGCTTCCCACCAAAAAACACAACACACACGAACGCAGTCGTGGGCCGCGGACAGCTGACGTAGAGCGAGTCCGCCTCTTGCCCCTGTCGCCAAGATCACGCCACGATTTGCCGACTTTTATGGACCGATGCTTGGGCACCCACCCCTAAACCCTAAACCCTAAACCCTAAACCCTAAACCGGTGGTCATGCCTGGGTCTTCACCACCACGTAGCAGTAGTACTGCTGCAGCCTGCCAGGGCAACGTGGCACATCTGTCACCCACAGAAAGCTGGGCACTTCCCTGATGTTCTTAGGGTTTAGGGTTTAGGGTTTAGGGTTCAGGGTTCAGGGTTCAGGGTTTAGGGTTTAGGGCTTAGGGCTTAGGGCTTAGGGCTTAGGGCTTAGGGCTTTGGGCTTAGGGCTTCGGGGCTTAGGGCTTAGGGGAAGTCGGCTTAGGGCTTAGGGCTTGGGGCTTAGGGTAGGTTAGGGTGAGGGTTCAGGGCGTTTAGGCCTATCACGCCCAAGGCCTGGCAGCAACCATCTCTGGCGTCACCCGCTGCGCGAAGGCTCCCTGGCACATTGCCTGTCCAGAAAGCAAATGTCCTCTCACTCACGACTGAACCCACAGGTACAGTAAGGTACGGAAAGGTATGGAAACGTATGGAAAGGTACGGAAAGGTACGCAAGCAGAGCATCGTGCTAAAGACGCATCTGTGAAGGACCAGTTGTGATTGAATACACGAATATGCATGCACATGCTACTCTGCAGCTTGTCCGTGCGAAGGTTGTTTGTATGTGTACAAATACATACAAACACATACATACACATATACATACATACACAGAATTTGTGTTGATATGCATGTGTATATGTATTTATGTATACTGGCATGATAGACCCAGTGCAGGCATGTCTGGCCTTTTGCACGGACTGGTTCTGCCAGACCCGCTGGAAGTCGTCTTTGGGAACCGGCCCGCTGTCCATCAACACGGCAGATAAATCATAGGGGACCTCGTCTGAAGTCGGCTGATGGCATTGATGGCGATTGGCAAATCAAGGACTTCGCAGCTGCTCCCAAACTCGCAAGTGCAGCCGCGCTGCGTTGAAGTAGAAGATGTCGATGCTCGTCTTTATCGCCACCTTCAGGCCATCTTGCTAGACTGTGGAGAACTGCAGCATACCCCACCCCACACCCCCCCGCCCCACCCCCGACGTTCCAGCTTCCCCTCTCTGCTGGTCTCTTCGCTCTTAGACAATCGTCGAATCGTGTCCAAGGCACCTCCAAGTAAAGGGGCAGTGCTGGAGGTGTGCCTGCTGTCACGTTGCACTTGAACAGCTTCATTTGCTGCCGCCCGCCGCTTACACCAAGAGACATGCTTCAGCAATGAGCATTCCACTTCGCCCAATTGAGACCCTTCTGCCTTGCAGTTTGTTGGGAGCCAAAGGGAGCAGCGCTTTGGCCGTTCCGTTCGGTGCCACCTCCCAAGAAGGACAAAAGTTCATGGTAGCTCCAAGCCCAGTTGCACGAAGAAAAACAGAAAAAAAATCACCTGCTCCATCTGCAGTGGCCCGCTCGGAGGCGCCAGGCCAAAGGGGTTCTTGTTGAACTGCACTGCCTGCAAGGTCAACCATACAGCAACCATGATCACGTGCACACACCGCCAAGCCTAGATCTGAAAAGACCCCAAACCCTAAACCCTAAATCCTAAACCCTAAACCCTAAACCCAAAACCCTAAACCCAAACAGGGCCAGCAGAAAAAGCATCCGTCCCTGATGCAAGACCACCTCTCGAACTGCCTGCTTGTCTCCCACATGTTGCGACATAAGTCTACCCGGAATTACCCTGTCAGTCAGAGAGTTTTACCAATGACTCAGATAAGGGTGCGGGATGAAGAAACTCCAAGAAGCGTCGGGTCATGATCCAATGAGCAAGGCGAACATATGCAGCTTAGACACCCAGCCGCCCATCGGCTGAGGAGTAAAGTTTCCCACCTCACAGCAGGAAAGAGCGAAGATGCTTCGGAAGGACGCCCGGGTGTCAAGGCCCATGCCATAAGCTGCATGTTTATGGCACCACCCGTGCCACGAACAACAGCAGCAGCCACCTGGCGACAAGGTCCAGAGCCACAGCACATAGAACCAAGAGGATAACGAGACTCTGCTTCTGAGCCAGCCGAGTGAACTTTTGCGCGACTGTCAGCTTCGGTCTCTTCGGGCCCCAATCGTGCGATGCACGTCTGCATCTACTACTTGTCTGATCACAGTGACATGCCTTGCATGCCATCACACTTCTGTGGGCGACATTACGGCAACTGAGGCTGCTTCGCAACCTTGCAGTGCTCACAGAAACGTGACAACTTTCCATGCGGACATCCATTGCATTGCTTGCAAAAGCGGCGCACCTTGCCATGTTGACAGCTCTTGCACTGCGCGCACGAATATTTGATCTTGCCATGCTCGCAAGCACTGCATTGCAGACATGCCTGCTTCCTCTTGCCATGTGGACACGGGTTGCACTGGCGGCAGAAGCGCTTGACTCGTCCGTGAGGGCATCCGCTGCACTGCTTGCAATTGCTAGGCAAGAGGCCATGTGGGCAGCCAGTGCACTGCGGACAATGTGACATGCGTTTACCATGAGGGCAGGGTCTGCATGTCTTGCAGAATCGTGGCAGCTTTCCATGCGGGCAGCCGTTGCATCGGAGGCAGGTATACTTTCCAGCGCCATGTGGGCACAGGTTGCACTGTGCGCAGTGCTCCCGCACCTTGCCATGGCCGCAGTTCTTGCACTGCGGACAGTTCATGCGGAGGCGGCCATGGGGGCAGGGGCGGCAGAGCCGACACGCATACTTTAAGCGCCCATGTGGGCACCCTGAGCACTTCCGGCACAGCAGGCGCCGAGAGCCGTGCTCGCAGCTGCCTCTGCAGTGCTTGCAGGCATCGCGCAGCGTACCATGTTTGCAACCGGAGCATACTGCACAATGCCTGATAAACTTCCCATGTGGGCAATTTCTTCGGCACAGTTTGCAGCGAAATTTGAGATGACCATGTGGGCAGCCGTTGCATTTGGCACAGGCACGTTCCCGAAAGCCATGTCTGCATCGAGCAAGACCTTTCTGCTTCTTGTTCTTCTCCCCTCGACGCACCATAGCCAGGTGGGTCATGCGAGCCTTCTTGCTTGTTACAAGCGGCGGTGCATCATCAGGCATCATCGGCAAACTGGAAGGGGCCACTCTGTGCGGGCAGGCTGCATATCTGATCCAACTGCCACGGGCATTGTCTAACTGCGGTCTGCAGCTCAAACAAACCTTGAAGTGTGGGGACATCAGCCGCTCACCTCGCCGGATCTTCTTGTGCCTAGTGCGCTGCGCAAGACGCCCCCAGACATCCTCAGGCTCGAAGGGAAGCACCGCGGAGTCTGCAAATGGATCTGGTTGGAACCCCGGGCCGAACCCGCCGAGCCCAGCGAACCCGCTTGACATGGCAACCTCGAAGAGCCAGTCGCTTGCTCTGTCTGTGACGATGTTGGCACGCCTCAGCAGGACTTGCGGTGGCACCATGCACTGCCTTTTAAGGTGCCTGTCCCAAGGGCCCCAAGGGCCCTCACTACACCAGGGCAACGTTAGCTCGAAGACCCAATCGCTTGCTCGATCAGTGATGACATTCGCCCGCCCCAGCAACACTTGTGGGGGGAGAAACTGTGGCTGAACCTTCCGTTTAGCTGCCTTGGCCATATCAGCGCTTTTCGGTGCAGCATCAAACCAGGAAAGCTCAAATTGCCGATCACTCGCACAGTCTGTAACCACATTTGCACGTCGGCTCAGAATCTGCGGCGGCACAGTTACATGCGACGCCCGCGCGCACCTGTACCAAGGCGCACCAAGCCAGCCATCAAGATGGTTGTACCCTGCATCGCAGGCTGGCATGGCAAGGTCGCCGTGCGGCAGGAACGTTGCATCGACAGTGCTCCTACAGCCTGGTTTAAGTGAAGGGGGGTAGAAGGGAATCAGAGTTTCTACTGACCTCTGCATACCTAAACTACCAGAAACTCAACACATCCAGCTGCGAGGTAGCAAGTCTTCAGTGCAAACCTGAGGACTTCATGCTTGCTTTGTGCCACAGACTTCAGCAGCCAGGATCGAAAACAGACAAGTCAGTCAACAACTCGTGTCATCGCAAGATCAGTAGTTTATCAGTACTTCAAATACTCATCAACACAACCCCACAAGGCGCCCCTGAGAGCCGGACTCGAAGCCCACGCTTTCCACCTTCGCCGGCAGTCTGCTCTGACAGCACTTGCGCCAGAGGACGCAGCGGAGGAGGCGGGCCTGGCGTCGGTCGTGGGGAGTGCTCTGAGCATTCCGAGCCTATGGGCAGGGATATGCAGGGGGTCCTGAGACGTTTTCTGAACTTGCTCTGAAACCGGCAGTGGACGCCTGTGCCCGCGCCCCCGGGAGCGCTAGAGGCACCCCGCTTGTCCCGGCCATCGGTGGAGGCCCCACTGCTGGAGCTCGCGCTGCTGTCCTGGACAAGGCCCATTCAATGCGTCGCGCGGGTGTCGCGGGTTGCTGAGGCGCGGGTTGCTGAGGCTTGGGATTTGAGGGACGCCTCGAATTTGTGCGACCAACCACTGTCAGATATCAGCCCACTGAGCTGAGGTACATGAGCTCACACGGCATCAACCCTTTGGTGCCTCGCTTGCCTCGCCGCCGGATTCTTCCTCATACCTGAGCAATGAAGAAAGCCGTCATCTCTTGGCGTGATCCACACTCCACCATGCCTTCCCGTTTGCTGGATCTCCTGCTCGACACGCTCGATGGTTTCGGAGTAGTCCTGCGCCGGAAGGCCAGCGTGGCGACTCCGGGCCGCGAACAGCCAAAGCAAGTCACAACAGCTGCCACAAGCCTCGAACTCATCGTTCTCTTCTACATGCCGGGCTCCCCGGTTGTTGTCGCAGAAAGCCTCAGGGACCTCGCAATCGTGGACCAGGCTACAGGCCCCTTGATTGAAACCATGCCGGAAGACCGTAACTACACCACGACCACGCAAAACTCACAAGTACAGAAGCATGTGGCTTCGGCAGCCAGCAAAAAAGTCTGTGGACTTCCACACTTTGGGAGCCCAGACACCACAGCCTACACTGCTCAAGGTTTAGGGTTTAGGGTTTAGGGTTTAGGATTTCGGGTTTAGGGTTTCGGGTTTACGGCAGCATGAACCTTGGGCAAAAGGCTCAAGATAGATGTGTCGGGTGCCTGGTGGTAAACCGATGCCAGCGTGGAGATGTTGGCAATGAGGCGATCCAGCACGCGCGGCTGCAGGGCCTGTGTGGGAGGTGCAAAACCGCCACACGGTCAAGCAGTCGAAGCAAGTCGAGACGATGCTATTGATGCTATTGAAGCTATTGAAGCTATATAGGAAAGAACGTTCTGAGAGTTGGGCGAACGAGTTCTCACTGATGGTTGGTCGCTCGCTGAGGACAACCTTGCAGCGAACAACGCACACGTCTCTACAACTTCGGCCATGCTGCCATAGACATCTGATTGTCTTGCGGGAGGCTCACAAAGCAGGGCAGAGAAGCCCAAGCAGAACTGAATCGAATCCAACACAAGCACCTGCCGCGCCTGCTTAGCAAGCTGCGGGCTGTTGCTCAGGAGCCTCGCGCGGAGTGGAATGAATCATTGAACTCCCGCAAACATCTCGTCTACTCTGCCGAGACAGACGGGCTTAGTTGCCCAGTATCCTAGGGGAGGGAATATAATACCCCAAAAGGGTAACAGCCACCCACTCCATTACGAAGAGGTCCTCCAATACATCCACCCACGGTCTCGTAGGTCCGGATTCGTGCTTTCGTCCGTGCACAGCTTCAGCACACGGCCCACCAGCTCGCGAGAGTCCTTTTGCTGTTTCTTGGGGTTTAGGGTTTCGGGTTTAGGGTTTAGGGTTTAGGGTTTAGGGTTTAGGGTTTAGGGTACGCAAAAATTAGCAACTATTTCCAAGTACCCCTAAGCCTTCCCGTGGATGCCAAGCACACGTGAGAGAAATGCAGGGGAGCTCGAGTTTTCAAATGCGTGCTAGAGGCCTTGATGCTTGATGCTTGCCATGCATGAGCCTTCTTGACATGCATGTCGCATTTGTTGAACGTGCCTGGGGGGTCTTGACAAACTTCTTCACCGTCGCAGTCAGGATTTGTTGTTGGACGGTGGAGGGCTCCTCTGGCACAGAAGTGCACAGTGTGCTGAGCAAAGGCTGTTACTCGTAGTCCTCATGAAACGTCTCGAGGAAGGTTTCCAGGAGGTCTCCACTGTTGTCTATCCTGACAATTTAAGGGACCCCTGGAATTATGCAGTGGCATGTCGGGGGTCTTCTTCGGGAAATGGGCTCTTAAACATGGTATGTACAAGGGCCAGCAGCGGATTCAGAAGCTGAAGACGCGCGGATTCGGAAACTTCGGGCCACGTGATTCGGGAAACTGGAGAATGCGGATTCGGTTTCTGAAATCGCGCGTCGCTCTACACATAAGTGCTCTGCAGAGGGATCCCTCCTAGCAGCCCTTCGCACTGAAAACAATGCCTAAAGGCCCCGACGGTCCCTCAACCCTCACCACCATCTCCGCGCCTTTCTGCATACTCCCCGACGATCCAGATCATGGATGCCTTCGCATCGGGCTCATCGAGGCTGTCCAGGTTTTGGCACAGCTCTGAGATGATCATCTCGTACCTGAGGCATGCGAATATGTTGCCATTGAACTATGGCTCTTGCACCTCAGAAAAAGTCGGCCCCAACTTTGCGGGAGCTGCTGGCCAGGATATTTCCTGAAGATGTCCCGGATGACGACCACGGCCTCCTGAACCACATAGTTGACCTGGGAATCATACACAGCGATCCTGAACATGCTGCTCCCCCAAACATGAGAGGACACAAGAGGGCCACACTGCCACGTTTTCCGGGGCACAAGCCCGAGTCTTGATGAGCTCCAGGAGGCAGTTCACACACTGCTCGGCGGAGCGCTCCAGCTTGATGGCAGCCTCTGAAACACGCGGACTCAGGGCTTGCGGTTTTAGGGGGAGAGCTCAGGGTGTGGTGTAGGGTATAGGGCTTAGGGTTCAGAGTCGACGTCCAGATATTAGGGTTCAGGGTTTAGTCACGTTTCGTCAAGTTTAGTCCCTCAGGCCGGCACCTGGCCAATTGCACGAACCGACTGACGGACGACCTCGATGTCCACCTGTCAGGGGCACCTCCCCTCGAGCCAGGTTGCGCCGAAGACCCTAAACCCTAAACGAACCTCCGAGGCGTACTCCACGAACTCGGAGAGAACAGAGTCGATGTTTCGGTCGGAGGCCAGCTGAACCTGCCGCCCCCGGCAAGATGTCAGCGCGCGCACCGCAGCATCCTAGCGTGTCCTTATTGAATTGGGCCGCGAAGGCGAGGTTAGAACTTGGGCCGCTGCCATGACGGCAATCTTCTCAAGTTTCACGTACAGTGGGTCGTTGTACTTGCAGACGAACATACGCACATCCGTCTGCAGAATGTTCGGCTGCTTCTGGGCAATGAGGTTGATGTTGCGCATCACCACCTGGGTCAGCAAAACAACCACGACGTACGACTTAGCAAACTCGCGTACATATATGTATATGTATGTATGTTATAGATTTATGTATGTATTTCGGTTCTGTTGTGTATCTATGTATTCGTCTACTAATTCTCAATACTTAGGTTTACTACCTTTTTTGTGACAGCAAGGCCAGGCCGCATACTGAATCTCCGGCTCCGCGGACAGCATCGTCACCAAGGGGGCCGTCATTCGCTTGCAGAGGGTGCGCACCTCGCGGCTTCGTAGTGGCAGGGGCAGCTAGAAGCTGTTGGGTTCCTGAGCCCTAAACCCTAAGCCCTAAACCCAAAGCCCTAGGGGAGAGGATTAGGGGGACCCTTGGGGATATAGACCCTCTGAATGAGGTCCCTGTTTAAGAGCCAGAAGAGGGTTAAGAAGGGGTTCCCTTTTAAGGGTCCCCCTTATCCTACCGGAAAAGCCCTAGACCCTAAACATGCCTTAAAGGTCATAAGGGTGGGCGGCTCCGGTGCCAAAGGCTCTGAAGTCGGGTCGCCAAGTCATTGCTGGACAGGCGGTCCATGAACTTCATGATCACCTTCACAGCCTTGGCTGCAGCTTTGCAGGCAACAGCAGGGTTTAGGGTTTAGGGTTTAGAGTTTAGGGTTTAGGGTTTAGGGTTTAGGGTTTAGGGTTTAGGGTTTAGGGCTCAGGGTTGCATGGTTGCAGGCAAGTTGCCGACAAAAGCACCTGTTGGTGCGATGGAGACTTAATTTGTTGCAAAAGTCTGTGCCCTCTGCCGGAGTTGCCAGGGACAAAGCGTCAACTGAGCCGATGGCGGCGCTATTGCCATGGGTGAGTCGAGCTATGACACCTGCAGCCGCCAAGAACGACCCTATGCCCCCTAAACCCTGCACCCTTATACCCTAGACCCCTAACCCCTAAACCCCATACCCTAAAACCCTAAACCCCAAAACCCCAAAACCCTAAACCCCAAAAACCCTAAACCCTAAACCCCGAAAACCCTAAACCCTAAACCCCAAAGGCGTTTTCTTTCAAGGTTCAGGTAGTTTCCCTCCGCGGTCCCTGGCCTTGTTGCAAAACCCTGGTGTGGCACTATAATTGCCCACGACATCACTGCTCCGTTGGTTTTTCCATCGTTGAGCCCAATATCTGGCTTGGCTCTGCCCTCCACTGATCTGGTTCGCCCTGGTGTTGCTGGCATCCAAGCTTTCCTCGACCCGCTCTTCACTTTCACTCTGGTAGTGTCAGTGCATGTGCGGTGGAATCGTCGCTGGACGTTTTTTCACGTTATCCTGTGGCCTTATCACCTTTTTCTGGCTGGTGATTTTTGGTGGGTGGTACAACGGCGACTACCTCATCAATTTCGAAGAGAAGGGAATCCTCTTCTCACAGAAGGGCCAGAAGATCGAGAACAAGAGCTCGAACAACTCTGCGGTGTGCGATTTCTGGTCTGATTTCGCCCTCGGATCAGAGAGTGCAACTGGCGCAAAGACAGTTGCAACACCACCATTCGAGATCGACGCTTCCTTGGCTGGTTCAAAGGCTGAGAGAAGGCGAGATGAATCAACCGTGGCAGTGCGAATGTGGCAGAAAGAACAAGGCCAACGCATGGTACTGCGGAGATTGCGGGTCTCCCTGGCAATCGTATGGTGGATCGGACAGACAGCAGAAGCAGGAGAAGGCCCCCTGGCAGCGAGAGGCAGACAGGTGGTCGCAATCTCCACGGAGGAGGGTCTCGCCGCGGAGAAGGAAGCCACCGGATGGTGGAGCCAAAGGCAAGCCCAAAGGCGAAGGCAAAGGCTCTCAGCAGAAAGGGAAGGCAACTACGCTGGCACCGGATATTGCAGCTTTGCCGCCTCCGCCGACATCCACGACTGTTGTACTGCCGAAGGCCCCAGGAACGGGGCCGAGCCAGCAGGCACCCGAAGGAGACAAAAAGCTGCTGGCAGCACTGGTTGCCCATATGGAGCATTCGGAAGAGACACCGATAGAGCTGGCGACGATGATCAGCCATTATCGGGAGGAGAACCATCGAGTTCAGGGGAAGACCCTGCACCGGTTGGTGTCGCAACAGACGGAGGCAAAGAGTGCTCTGGAGAAGGCCAGAGCCGATCGGCAGGCCTACGATTCGGCGTGGGCACAGTATGTGGCCAACCTCGCGACGCTGTTTCAGAAGCAACTGGAAGAACGGCAGAAAGTGATCTCGCAGCTCGAAGAAGCCGAGTCCTCATGGGAGACCAAACTTCAGGATGCCTCAGCATTGCTATCTCGGACGGCAGGAGCTGGCAATACGAAAGACGAAGTGGTCGATGTGGAGGAGGAGGTCGATGCTGCCGCAGCTACAGATGCTGCCTCGGATGTGCGGAAAGAGCAACGTGCATCCCAGATGCAAGAGATCGAAAGGACGAATCTTGGTATCTTGCAGGCCCTCAACACGGCGAAGGACACGGCGCTGGAAGGAGTGGCCAGAGATGTTTCCAGATCGCCACGACGGAAACAAAAGGACACGGAGCAGGAGCATGTGGACGAAGTTCCACCAAAGATGACCAAGACAGCGCCACTGGCCAAGACAGCGCCACCTTTGGGCCCTGGCTAAGCCTGCGAACGAGCCTCACGGGACCTCGCAGGCATATTCCGCACACCTTAGGTGGTTGCGAAGAGGAGGTGAGACCTACCTGGCACAGCGTCATGAACGAGCCGGACTATGTCTCCCCCTTGTACGCTAACATCCTGGCTTGCTGCACCGAGAGTGACTTGCAACTCCCTGGAATGGATCCATTCTTTTCTTGTGATCCCAGAATCGAGGAAGAGAAGCTGACTTGGGGTGACCGTCATCCTCTTCGTCCCCTTGGACATGCTGTTGAAAGCCTTTCCAGCATACGATCTGAATCTGAGCCTGCATTCGAGCTGATGGACAGTGCTTCGACTTGCAGTGATCACATTCAGGTCCAATGCCGAAGCAAGGTTTCAACACCATGCTCAAGGGTTGTACATTGTACAAAGTCTTGTCTGAAGAGTAGCAGTTCCAATCTCGGCAAAGCCGTTTCATTTGAAGGCCAGTTTCTGGATAGCGTTGCTTTGAGAGCTTGGTACTCCTGGAATCGGGCGTTGATTAGTTGTCTGGGTTCCTACAGACAAACTGCCGCCCTATGGCTCCACCGCCTGGAGCATGAGCACACTGCCTCCGCACAAACTGCCTTTCCTGGGGTTTTGAGGCACAGACACCCTGACCCGGCACCCTGCCTTTCCCTAAATAATAAGGGGTTTAGCAGCTACCCGGACCAGACTCACTGCCGAGGCCTTGTGAATTGTCCCCTCAGTCAAGACACCACTATGGGGACGCACAGCGCGGGCACAGGGGGCTCCTCAAGCTCCTCGTCATATGAGCATGTCACCACGATCGCGGGGGTGGGCAACATGCACGACAACTTGGTGTTGTTAACGCCTTTCGCCCTTGCAAGATCAGACAAGTTCATGGGGAAACATGCTGCTCAGGAAAGGTTCACACTGTTTGATGTAGTGGATCATATGCGCATTCTAGATGCACACCCGGAATGGACTGTGCAAGACTACGCAGTGGAGGCTGCCAGGCGCACTAGAGACCAACCTGCTGCAGCAATCTACATGCTGAAATACCCTTTTGAGGGCCTGCCCCCAATCCAATTCGTGATCAGGTCTGTCAATGTTCCGGTTGGTTGGGTCAACGTCCCGGTTGACCTCCGTGCGTTGCAACTGGCGTTCCACACTCTTAGCCTGCCGGTGGATGCGTCCTCATATGAAGCTGCGTTGAGGCTCAGCATGAGTTGCGTGACCATTCCGCCGTTGTTTGCTCCTGCAGTGGCTAGAGGCAATCTGAGGATCGACCCTGCTGACAGGACGCAGCTGGACCCTTTCCAGACGCATGCTTTGCAGCCCTCTTTTGCCATGATTGCTAGAGGAATCGGTAACAGAAACAACTTTCTGCTGGAACAACCCGAACTGAGTACCTCTAGTTCATCGGCTGAAAGCACCACCCCCTTTTTCTCGCCTGTGGACTACGAGCCGCCTGAAGGCGATGTGGTTGTGGCCTACCATTCCCCAGGCCACCGACCCTGGATGCAGTCCCATCCCAACACGATCACGCCTAACGACATGGCACAGGAAGCATCCGCCCATCTCGGCCAGATGGCAGGAGTCAGTAGATGGAGAACTTCCCTGCTGCCCCTTCAGCCGCATATCGCCGGGGTGGACCTTCACTGCCTTGCACTTCCGATTGATGAGGAAGGTCATAGCATGATTACGGTTCTGGCTGATTTCAGACCTGTGTTTGGGCCGGGATTATTGTCATTCGTTGCCATCCCGGTTGAAGTTCACAGTGCCTCCATGCAGGAGAACATTGTCAATGCGACAGTTGACCAGTTGTTTGAGCTGGCCCTTGTTGAACCTCCGGTTGAATTCTTTGTCACTAAAGCAGGTAATGGGGGTCTTGTCGTCCCTGCCCACGAGGGACAGCATGCGGTGATGGACTCCTTTGATGTAGCCGGGCACTTCCCAGGGCTGCTCACCATGACCCGCTTCTTTTGGGCAAGTGATTGGGCACTGGCCGCAAGCCGGACCATGAGGACCACCTCCTCTACCACCACCACGCCCTTCGAGATGGAAGACCCTCGGGGAGAGAGGCTTAGGCTTGTGCCCCGCAATCCTCTCAGGGTCTGGTTGGGCATTCAAGGGCTAGGGATGTTTCAACAGGACTTTGAAGGGGATCCGCCCATGGCTGTGATTCTGGCAAGCATGTGGACACGAGTCTTGCAGCAACACACGGTGAGTGACTCGCTCATTGTCCGAATTGCCCATGTTCACCCGCCTGCTACCGTAGCTGCCAGAGAGCTCCTCATCTCCATGGAGTTGAGCTCCAACAGAGACACTGCAGGGGTTTGGGTTGACCTTAGGCCGGGTGGCGTTCTAAGCTTCCAACAGGTTCCGACCTTTGCTGATGCAAGCTGCATTGGGGACCTCCCAAGGCAATTCAAACATGTGTTCCTTAATGGGCGAAAGTGGGAGCAGGCATGCAGTGTATATGGCGGAGCATACATTGCTTTCAGCCTCACGTCGCATGCTCCCGATGTCCGGTCTGTTGACTTCTTCTACGGAAGAATAAGAGGCCTTGAAGCCCTTGCAATCCCGTTCTTTGTCCCCGCGGACCTGCCTCAACAGGTCGAAGCTGATGCTGAACATCTCAGGTCTGAAGCACTTGCGGTCTGGGAGAACACGCTTGATCACCGGCTCAGGAACATGGGCTTTGTTGGGGATGTGAGAGGGGTGGTCATTGCAGGGGATCACTTTACGGTGCTTGCGCCATCCTGCCGCCCTACAAACCTGCCTGACGTTGCTGCATGGGTTTCGCAGTGGATTGTTCCAGCGTTTGGCCCGGTGCAACTTTACCAGACACAAGGCCAGGTGGGCTCTAGACAGGTTTACATTGCCTCGGGCAGCAGCCTCGATCCGCATGAAATGTACTTCAGGGTGGAAGTTACTGATCAGAGTGTCATTGTTTTCAAACTTCCACACTCTGTCCTGCCAGACACATTGCGCAGACTTGCACCTGTTGATGATGCATGGAGCCGACCTGTTCCTGGCCGCGCATGGTATGCCCCCTTTTTCCCTCCTGCCGACTTGTGCTCCATGGTCACAGTGGGCGAAGGACAACCCGCAACGGCCTCTGGCCCGCCCGAAGGGGGAGATCCTGTCGCAAGGCCAGAGGTTGTGCCTGTTTGCACTCGCCGTTGGGGTAACTTTAGGGTTAGGAGGGTCCGGTTCATGCTTGAACAGACCACAGAGGTCCAAGAACGAAGTGCGGCTTTGCAGTGGCTT